AGTGACTCTTAAAGTATCAGAGTTAACTGCCATACATTAATAAGGAATGATGTGTCCGTTTCTCCTTTCCTTTTCAGGGAGAATATTTGTTGTGATTTGACTTTCGTATGGGTCTCACACACGCATAGACAGATATCTAAAGTATGTTCAACTACATACACGCACAAAAAGAAAAGCATTACAAGTATAAAATTTGAATATAGTTTATAAAGTAAAACCCAAATTTGTATATCACCGAGTAGTAATTAATTGTGACGTTGTGTTGAGTCGAATATGACGCGGAGATGTAGATGGTCATAATAACTTGTTTGTAGTTATATTCAAATTAAATTTTCTTTTTAACTACTTATATATGTATATATGGAGATAATAGCACATGTACATTGGGGGAAAAATAAGTAATACGAAAAACAATTGTTATGAAATAATCTCTGCATAGCCCATATTATCTAACCTACTGTTAACAAAAAGACCCATATATTTATTGAAACTATTAACTTTATTTTGTGACAAATATATTTATTTAGTTTGTAAGTGGTGTGAGACTGAGAGTAAAAACATATTTTGATTTTGTATTCTTCTTGCAATTACAGTAGAGATATATTTATTTCACTAATTTGATTAGGCGAGAACCAAAATTAACAAGAGAAAGCCCATACAATACTATATTTTCACCGAAATATAAATGTTCATGAGCGTCAAGGTTTTGAGTGATTTTGGATTGTGGCCAAAATATAAAGAAAAATTTACCTAGAATAACCTACTTTTTTAAAAAAATAGTTAGAATAATCTTACCATTTTTTTATTGTTGAAATAACCTATTCTGGATTTTTTTTTCTTCATAATACCAAAATTATTCTTGGCAGACTCTGTCGAGGTATTGGCAGACTCTGCCGAAACATTGGCAGAGTCTGCGTATTTCTAGATATTGGCAGAGTCTGCGTATTTCTAGATATTGGCAGAGTCTGCCAATACATCGGTAAGTCTACCAATGTTTCCGCAGAGTCTGCCAATGATTCGGTAGAGTCTGCCAATACCTCGGCGGAGTCTGCCAATGTTCGGCAGAGTCTGCCAATGTTCGGCAGAATCTGCCAATGTTTTGGCAGAATTTGCGTATTTTTAGATATTGTCAGAATCTGCCAATACATCGATAGAGTCTGCCAATGTTTCGGCAAAGTCTGCCAATACTTCGGCAGAATCTGCGAAGGACAATTTTGGTATTATAAAAGAAAAAAAATCTAGAATAGGTTATTTCAACAATAAAAAAATAGTAAAATTATTCTAGTTATTTAAAAAAAAAGTAAGTTATTCTAACTAATCTCCCAAATATAAAATCAAATTATCTCGTCGAACTGTTTTAATTTGTCCCAAAACAAAATCATGGCCATCAAAACAGAAGCAAAGGCTGGTTAACCAAGAAAATTCATTCTTAGTCACTGATGTACATTAATGAGTCACCATGTAACAAAGTTCTATCAATCTGTTACAGCTGATTAATATTGTAGTGCAATAAAGTATTTGAGAGACGCACATAAATAAAAGCATCTACCTACACTTGTCATTCACACGCACACCAAAGGTCAGGATGTGTCATTTGACAAAGAGCACACACCTTTTTCTAATTTGGAATTTTATTTGGTCCGTACAATATAGTTTCTCTATATAACACATAGCAAGTAAGGAGAACATCATCACGCAAAAAAAAAAAACACACTCATCTTTTTGTTTTTCCAGAGCTAAAAAACCCTCAAGGTCAAAATATCAATCTCTACTTTTGTCTTGAATCTCTTTACATATATATTCTGATCTTCTTCTTTCCAGATCTAAAAAATACTACCGTTGGATGAGTTGTTTTCTTTGTTAATGACTATAAATGTTGTCGAATATATGTTTCAGGAGAAATAATATCTCTCTACTTTTTGAGTTTATCGCTTGATTTTCTAAAGAGAAAAAAAAAATCGTTTGGCTATAAATCTCTAGCTGTTTTTGTATAAGAATCATCTCTGTTTTTGTTCATATATTTTAAAATGTTAATATGTCATACAAGGAACTTGTTGAATGTTGTTCATGTGTATCTAATATGCTTTTTTGTTGTTGTGTGTGGTAAAAGTGTGTCTCTTATATGTTTTATTTGTAAATTAAATTAAACAATGGGTCTGAATTATCAGGAGACAATGACGCAAAGAGTTGGACCTTTCGGTGTTAATATGGGTGGAGAGCTCTTCGACGATAATTGTTACCACGGAGTCAGAAGTGTTAAGGTTGGGTTCCAGGACGGGCACTTAGTTTACATGGAGATCAATTACGTGAGGAATGGAAACATGGAGATGGAGCAAGTGAGCCATGGAGTCATGCCCAGCTCAACGTTTCAGGTGACTCTTTTATGCAATAGTTTATAAAGTTACTACAAATTCCTGTTATATTTATACACACATTAAAAATATGTTGAAACTTATTTATTTAATTTTGTCAAGAATTAGACAAACAGGTAATTTCAACGAAACATATTGTATCATGTACAGTTTGTTGTCGCTCATTTCCCCAAGGAGTTTATAACCGCCGTTGAGGGTACGTCTGCTTTCTGGCCACGATCCGTTACGAATGTCACCGGAAGCTTTAGGCTACATATAGCATCAGGTTTATCACGAATGAAGGGATAAATTCCCTGACTTTCGGCAATCCAACAACTGGGGAAACGGAATTCAGCATGAGCAGCCATGGAGCACCTCTCATTGGTTTCTTTGGGAGAACTAGGAATGCTATTCATTGTCTCGGAAGTCACTTCTTGCCAGCGTAGGGTTCAACAAGCAAATAAAGGGTTCAACAAGCCAATAAATTATTTCTCTTACTTAAATACTTTTCGTAATAAATAATGGTTAATATCTCTTATTTAAAAGTTATAAGAAAATTTCAATGATGGTTTAATACCATATTTAGAACTCTTTTTTTTTTCAATTTTATATAATAACAACCCTATCTTTTCCATGTGATTATCCTTGTAATAGAATTCATAAATTATATATATGTTTACTCAATCGCCCGTAGTACAAAACAAAATGGGCAGGGGACCACTAATATCCTAGTATGCTATATTTTATGGCAAATGGATCCTGCACCTTTTTTCTCTTCAGCTTGTTGTTTTAACTCACATTTCACAATAGTCTAGCAAAAAGAACAGCATAATCACGTATAAATAAATATTGATATGTAATAAGTTTTTTTTATGAAACTGATATGTAATAAGTTAAGAGTAAGAATAATCACATCTTTTGTTAAAAGTAAGTATAATCAATCAACGTACATGAAACTTGTCTCCAAATGGTGTGTGTGTGTGAGAGAGAAGAACAAAAAGAAAGGTTGAAAACCATTAGCGATCTATTTGCAGCTGTAGCAGGTGAATAGACGTTGAAATCCACTAGCGTCTATCTAATTATGTACATGATCCTCTTTTAAAACGAATGGTAATTCAAAACTAAATTGGTACCTTGTTGACATTAATTTATTGTGTATTTATCTTCACTTTTTGTATCCCTCCTCTTTAATTCATTACTTTGTTTTGATAGTAATATTCGTTTCTTAAATTAATTTCCGAGTCGGTTTGCACTACGGAGTTGTTAAAAGTTTCCAAACCTTGTAAGCATTTTCAAGTTTTCAACACAGACACACACAAAAGCATGTGGAGTAAAATTAAATGGCTATGAAATTAAATGGATAACATTAGTTTGATTGGTTCGATTTCATGGTCCAACGTTCACCTGTGTAATAAGAGAGATGATGGTCTCATATGTAAGAAGTTGGGCAGGGTATTAATAAATGATCAGTGGCTGGTGGAATACCAAAACTCGTATGCGGGATAATTA